AATAATATTAACATGATTATAAAATAAAATACTAATTAAAAAAAATTACAATTTTCAACGCATTTGTATGCTGCAATTGTGAACTTCGTCTGACTACATGTAAATATGTCAATATCCTGTGAGATGATATTAACGTAGTGTATGGCACGTGTCAATGGTGCATTCTGAAGCAACTTCGTCCTAGCAGTGGGCACGAAGAGTAACGGGGCGCGGCGACGAGAACACATGTAATTATCAGGTACACGTAGCTTTAGCGCAGCGAGCACTTCTGGGTGATGTATCCATCCACGTAATACGTTCCACACATATTTAATAAGCGCGATGTCTCTCCTCACACTCAGGCGGCTGTAACCGACCATACCCAGTACAAATAGACTCGGATACATGAGTGGAAAACTAGGATAGACTCCGTACTGTTTGAAATATAAAAATCGTGTAAATTTATTTTGAAGTTTTTCGATCATGACACTATATTTGCTTTCATGTGGATTCCAAATAATGGCGTTCGTTTCAAGTTGACTTCTTACGAGAGCATTATATAAAATTCTAATAGTAACTACATTACGGAAATCCCTGCACTGCCTTAAGATAAAGCCGAGATTCCTAAAAGCTTTTTTACAAATATTTAAAATGTGATTACGAAAATTAAGTTCCGGGACCATTTCGACGCCTAAGTCTCTAATGTGTATGTAATTGTTCTCAAACTGTATACTTTCTGGAGCGTTGGTGTTAGCTTAAATATCTTTAAAGCAGCTTTTTATAGATATTTTTATTTTTATCAATGAAATTGAACTTGAGTTATTTTTAATTTTATTCAAAGAATATACGTTAACTGAAGAACGGAAAGTAAAGTACACGATAGGTACTAAAGTAAATTGCTTGCATTAAATAAAAAAATAATATTAATAAAAGACTTGCCGAACAAAGAGTAATTCCCCGACAAGTTCCCGCTTTCTTTCCTTTGTTTAATGCGCTGTGGGGCACTATTGTACAACACGGTGCAATAAATTGGGACTTAATAATATTGTTTTTTTTTTTAAATATTAGTATCTAATACAACAATATATTTGAAATATCAGTTTCCCCTTTATCTCTCCTCCTTATATTGTTTTTAGGGTTCCGTACCCGAAGGGTAACCAAATGGATCCTATTATTAAGCTTCCACTGCCCGTCCGCCCGTCCGTCTATCTGTCAGTGGCCCGTATCTCATGATCAGTAATAGGTATACAGTTGAAATTTTCACATATTATGTGTATTTCTGTTGCCGCTATAACAACAAATAATAAAAATAAAAATAAATTAAAAATTAGAGGGCCCTCCCCTACTAGAAACGTTTGTTACGATGATACGGAACCCTCCATAGACGAGTCCGACTTCAAATAACGTAATTTGATTGTAAACTTTGTCATAGAATAACCTAGTCAAATTGTGGGAGCTGCCGAGAGCTTTTTTAAAACTAAATACAAACTAAGACTTAAAACTAAATAAAAACTACGTGTTCACAGAGAGAGATGCGAATTTATTCTGACCATTGTCTTTTACAATCCTTAATCCTATGCTTACAGTCTACTTAAATTACTACATACTCAGCATTTGTGTATTTATGCTGATGGACGTTTTATCTGTATTATGGGTGGTGCTGGTGTAACCATAACTCCTCCCTCCTCAACTGCAAAGTTATCGGCAAGATTTGGATTCCGATGATTTTGCATACAATGTAGGACTTAACTTAGACTTAAGTTTCCAAATTACAACAATAAGAATAATTAAAACTAATATAACATAGAGTAGTACAGTAGCTAAACTAACACTTTTCTTTTTCACTAAGCTTTCACTTTCACTTTCCACTATTTCACTTTTCAGTTTGTACGAGAGATATCTTAGTTCGTCCAAATTAACGCGATTTAAATTCACTATTTTCTCCGCATTTGTAGGCTGCTCTATCAATTTGGGTAGAGTTAAAATTGGTGTCACCTTATATTGCAGTTTTCCTGAGTAGTATCGTTTCCGGTGTAATTTAATATTGCCTAATTTTATCTCACAATTTTCATCGATTTCCAAGAGGTAAGTGCCCTTTACAGCATTTCTTTGAGTGTCATCGCCACACGTTTTTGTAAGCACTATTTCATTTTGTGTAAATAGGATCCAGTTAATAGGACCAATAGACTGTATCTTAACACTTTCCAGCTGTAGTATTGATAATTTACAAAGGCTTAGATTTGATGCGAAGCTCATAAGTTGTTCTATGCATGTGTTTTCAGGATACTGCACGATATCAATTTCTTCACACAGAAACTGGTTTGCTGCTATCTCCTGACATGGGCCATCTAAGGGTAAGTACGTGTGATCTTTCACCATGAGGTAGGGATATTTGGGAAAAATAACAGTTGTTCTATTATAGGTGGGATCAAACATAGGTAAGGCATACATTTTAAAATAAGTGTATGTAATATTATCAGTCAGAGGGATTTCCATGATGAACGTTATTTGGTTTTCTTTTACATAGGCCTTAACAGACATAGATCTTTCCAAATTAACTAAATTGTTTTCAGTAATAGGATACAATAAACTATTTGTTTGAGATATAGATTCTAATATTACTAATAATTCAGTGGAATTAACAATGGCTTGGTGTAGAACGTGAAGTATAGTAAATGCTAATGCCGTTTCTATTTCGCTTAAAATTAAGTATATAGTTCTAAAATTATTGACAAACATGTTAAACATACTTAAAACATATGTGGAGTATATGCTATTATCGTCTTTAGTAATTATATATTTTACAATTCTTTCTATACGTTTCATTCGTTCATCTATAATTTTCATATTTTCCTGTAGAGATCCAGTACTATTTATAAGAGAGTTAAGCATCTCCGAGATTATTGTTATTTTCTTATTAGTGTGCGTTTGTTGGGTCTTTAATTGAGATATGAGATTGTCGTATTTTATTGCATCATTGTGGTCTAAATTTCCTGTAAGCGTTTTGATAACAGAACCTAATGCATTAATAAGACCGCGCTTGAAACGTATCGAAAGTATGAGTTGTTTAAACTTTTCTACAGCTAAGTTACTTAAATAATTTACTTGTGTTTTCATATTTTGGAATTCATTTACGTATGGCTTATGGATGTCTACTAAACTGCTAAATTCTTTATATTTATTGATATTAAAATTTAAATCATCTTTTATGCTACTAAAGTCTAACTGCTTAATTATAACCCACTTATCTACTTCCTTGTATGCTTGTCCTTGCTTTACGGGTAACATGCCTGGGTTATGCTCAATCTTTAGAAGTTGAAGGCCTTGGGTCTGGATCATCAGATTCAGGTTCACGAAGATCGCCAACAACCTGTGGAGGGCGTTTCACATTTTTGAGGTGCACTTTAGTTTTTCTTTTTCCTATCGTTACAGGTATTATGTTTCTTTCAACATCACCTTGCACTTTCGCCTTTTGATACCTAGGTTTATCCTTACTTTTCCTTATGTTAATATCTTTAATAAAAACCGTATCACCTTCTTTAAGATCAATTCCAGATTCCCCGCTTTTCTTTTTCCTAACCTTTTCTTTATCTGTATGGACTTTTTCGGAAATATACCTATATAAGTATTTGGTTTGTCTCGCGTGGTCTTTAATGAGTTGCTGTGTATATGCCTTTTCAAAATCTACGTCGAATATTTTACCAGAATCGGTATGACCAAATGCTACTTCAAAGGGTGTTAATCCTGTCGTTGAATGAATAGTATGATTATATGCCATGACTGAATATGTCATGACAGATGCAGCGTCTGTGCATTTATGTTCATATTTTGCAAGTCTGTATATTTCAATTATAGTGAAATGATGAATGAAATCTTTCGACAATGCCTGTCAGTGGTTTGTCGACTTGCAATCTCTAAGGCCTGCCCTAATTTGCTAAAAGCATCCACAACGGTTAAATAATACTTCTTCTCAATAGTAAATAAATCTATAAATAGTTCGTGAAAAGGCGCATCCTGAGTTGATGTGAGTTGTAGTATAGGTTTTATTGGTTTCCTATCGTACTTCATTAATCTGCACGGTTCACAAGCATTTATAACGGCAGCTACAGTGTCTTGCATATTTTCCCAATAATAGTTACTGCGTAATCTTATCATAGTTTCTTTCACACCGCGATGACATGTTTTTCCTTCATGGTGTTTGAGAATGACAGCTTTTTGTTCTTTTTCATCCTCCACATATACTACGCGATGTGTACATTCAAAGAATTGTACTGCATCCTTCTTAAAGAGTTCTATAATAACTTTTGCAAATAATTTCCTATGCTCAGCGTTCTCGAAATAAATAAAGTATCGACTCTTAAATTTTATATATTCCTTTAAAAATTGTTTTATTAATTCTTCGTTTTCTAGTGGGAGAAATACCTCTAGTACTTTTTGTTTTTTTTTCTAGATAAATTTCTGACTTGTAGTTTATTTTGGAACCAAGAAAATACTAGGATCTGATTTGGTTTGGTATCTATTGCCTCGCTCAAAATTGGGATTGCTGTTGACTCGGGTTCAACATTTGAATGTATCGTGTCTGTGCTACTACTGTTAGTTACAGATGGTACAGGGTAGTTTTCTTCGAACAATTCTATATGATCCGTTACACTCGAGTCTGAGTCTGAAATTATCACTGTCTCTGGTTGAGGTTTAGGTCTGTATTTTTCAAGTTCTTTCAGTTGACGTATTACTTTTTGTATGTCGTCGTCATCCACATTAACATCCATTGATGCGTCGTCTAAAGCATTAAGTTTTATGCGAGACAAGGCATCAGCATTGGTATTTTGTTTGCCGTTTTTATAGACGATTGTAAAATCGTATTCTTGAAGACGCAAACGCCAGCGTGTTAGTTTGCTGTTAGGCTCCTTAAGGGAATAGAGCCAAGCAAGGGGTCTATGGTCTGTATAAATTTGAAATTTTTGTCCATACAAATAGGGCCTAAAATGCTTTACAGCCCAAATGATGGCTAAAAGTACGTGCTATATTGTGCTGTATCGTGACTCGGTGTTACTAAGTGTGCGGCTGGCATATGCAATAGGCTTATCTGACCCTATTGGTCCTTGTGATAATACTGCACCAAGAGCTACATTCGAAGCGTCGGTAGTTAATATATACGGTTTAGTCGAATCAGGGTATTGTAGTAGTGGGACACTGGTCAATATTTCTTTACATTTATGAAAAGCATCTATATAATTTTGATCTATAATTATCTTATTCTTTTTCTTTAAACACGATGTTAGGGGCTGTGTGATTTTCGCAAAGTCCTTTATAAATTTTCTATAATATCCAACCAGCCCAAGGAAACTTTTGATTTCGGTGGTTGTCTTAGGAAGAGGATAATTCTGTATTACCTTAATTTTGTCGTCGTTTGGTCGCAGTCCGTCTTTAGTTATGGTGTGTCCAAGATATAAAACTTCTTTTCGGAAAAAGTCAGATTTGTCTAATTGTATTTTCATGTTAGTCTTTCTAAGTCGGTCAAAAACTGTACGGAGTTTCTCCATGTGTTCTTGTAGACTAGCGGAAAAGATAATAACGTCGTCAAGGTACACAAGGCAATGGATTCCTTGCAACCCTCTTAAGACGTTATTCATAGCCCTTTGAAAGGTGGCGGGGGGTGTCTTTAATCCAAATGGCATCCTGAGGAACTCATAGTGTCCATTTTGGGTGCTGAAGGCAGTTTTCTGTCGGTCATCTTCATTAAGTTCAATTTGGTGATAGCCGCTGGCCAGGTCGAGTGTCGAAAAGTAAGTGCTCTTACCTAGTTTATCGAAAAGGTCTGCAATATTTGGAAGGGGGTACTTATCATCAATTGTAATTTCATTTAGCCTTCTGTAATCTATGACCGTTCTGTATTTAACTTCGCCCGAAGCATCAGCCTTTTTTGGAACAAGATGTACGGGAGAATTCCATGGGGAGAAAGATTCCTGAATTACATTATCTAATAGAAGTTTATCGACCTGTTTGTTTATCTCTGTTACTTTTACGGGGGCTAGTCTGTAAGGTTTTGTGAATATAGGGTCCTCGTTTTTAGTCCGAATGAAGTGTTTAACCTGATTACTAAAACTCAAAGGTATCCGTTCACAATAAAATATATCCTTGTATTCCTCACATAGTTTACGAATGTTATGTCTTTCCTCTTCATTCATATGGTTTAGTCGTAATTTGTTTAAATTTTCAAGCAATAACTGGTCCGTTTCTAGATCAGAGTGATCTATAGAATTTACATACGATTTATCATCTACACATTCATAAATTTCAAAAGGTTTCTTAATAGATAGTTCCATTTGTTGATCTAACACTTTACCAATGCAGAAGGCGTGCGCACTCCGTCACAGAATCGGGTATAATTTAATATTCCTTCGCCATAAAACATGTTAGCAGGTAATTTTGCTCTGATTTCAGAACGAGGTGGAAGTATTACTACATGTTCTAAGCTATTGTGTACTATCGGTATTCTAGAAGAATTTGTAGTAAGTACTTGTTTCTTTAAATCTATTACAGCTTCCAACTGCTTTAATAAATCGTTCCCAATTAACCCATCATAACGTGAATCGACATTATAAAGATAAAATTTATGTTCGTCATTACTTTGAAATATAGAAAATAGTGGAATTTTAATTACCTGATTGTGTTCACTAGATGCGTGAGTGCTTATAACCTTAAAGGGTTCATTTGTTATATAATTACGGTAGTATTGATGTGCTTTATCGGAGCTTATAAAAGAACGGGTGCTTCCTGTGTCTATCATAAAATTAGCATCTATTTCCGGTATATATATGTATGGTAGTTTTAGATTTATGTCGCAATTCAATTCTATTATTTCGGGTGGTTTTCGGAGGCTTTTACTTGAAAATTTTCAGTCTGTGCCGATATGTCATTATCCTCTGAATCATTGTTTTCTTCGGCCTCTATTAGAGAATTTTCTTGTATGGATTCATCTTCATAATAATTTTCGTATGGTTCCTCATACATGTAATTTTGAGGAAATTCGTAGGGATAGTATGATGGATAAATTTCTAATTCGTTTAGGCGGAAACCTGGTTTTTTCAACCAGAGTTAGAGATATTAAAAAGTAATAATAATACCGTTGCATTGTTGAATGAACAAACAAATGTTACTAATTCACCTCTCTTAAATATCTTTAAGCCTGCTCTCTAATAATGTGGGCGTTGCGCGGCGGTTTGTTTTTTAATTTTACAAACGGCTGCGTAAGTCCAGCGGTGATTGGTCGCATGTTTTATCGCATGACGCAATCGCTCGCTCGTTAGGTAGAGAGCGGTTGCATCATCGGTTTGTATAAAAGGCACTTGTTTTGGCTCGCCGCTCACTTAGCGGTTAGCCACCGTAGAGTCTATATCACCTGAGGATGCCTCGTGTAGAGGCGAAACACGTGTCGTATTATCGTCAGTGGTGTGTCTTGCCTAGTGTAGTGGTGTTGGAAGTAGCGGTGCTGGGATTAGTGGTGACGGGGATAGTGCACGCAATTGCGGGAGGGCGGGAGGTGCTTCTTCATACTAGGTAAGACACATCATTTTATTTTATAACGCGGATATTTGCGAAGTAAATTTTTTGTAAAAGCTTTTATATAATGGATTTCCGCAAAGTAACGCCTGATTCTATTAATTATACTGGTTGAAAAGGCTTTGGAGGGGCAGTTCTCATAGAAACATCAGTATCATTAGAAACCGGCTTATTATGCACATTATTATTATTATTAGGATAAATAAAACGCTGAGAGTTACCAAACTGTTGTGGTAACATTGGTTGCATGGGGCTATAGCCCGGGGGTCTAAATCCAAAGTTTGGTCGGTATCCAAAATTAGGTCGGTATCCAAACTGAGGTGAGTAATATTGCTTAGGGAAACTCATTTGCTGTTGAGGCTTATTTTGTGGTAACGGAATCTTCATTTGTCTACTATTGGGAATGCCAAACTTAAATTGAGGTGGTGTTCCGAAATTCTGCCTAGGGGGTTGGTTTTGTGCTAACATTGGTCTAAAACCTGTAGGCTGTGTTGGCATTGCGAACTTAAACGATGGTTGTTGCACTACTGTACTACTAGACTGTGGCTTAGACTGTAACATTTTACTACGCATCTGATATTGGTCATAGAAGTTTACTTCTTCTAGAACTATACTTAGTGCTTCTTCTAGTGTACTGGGTGTTTTCAACCTAACAATGCGCACCATATTTTCGGATAAATTGTATAAGAAAACCTGCAGAGCGGTGTTATTGTAAATAATAGTTTTACTTATTTTTAAGTTTTTATCACCAATTTGATTAACCTTCGATAATAGCACTGATTTAACGGATTGTATACGACCACAAAAATCTGTATAATTTTCATTTTGGTGTTTCTTTAAAGTTTCTAATTCTATGGCTAAACATTCCTCGCTACGTGGGTCGCCGAAGTGAGTTAAAAACAATTCCTTGAATTCGGCCCACGTCTCTATATCTTCCCGTTCACTGATAAGCGACGCAGCCTCGCCCGTAAGACGACTAGTAATGATTTGCATTATATATTCATTTTGCACATCGGATGATTTAAAGTTATTTATTATATATTCACATTTACGCAAAAATAAATTTAAATGGCGCTTATCGCCGCTAAATGTTGGTATTATTTTAGTTAATTCGTTAGGGATAAGTTTGATTTCCGACATTTTTAATAATTTATTCACTGGGGTTACACAAAAATAAAAAATAATATAAAATATTTATTATAACCCTACCAGTTCCATAAATGTTGTAAGGAAAATTCGAGTATAAGTAATAATCTATTATATATTAACGTGTCGAGTAATCTTTAAGTTAACAAACACATGTAGACACAATAATTTTTAACGTGGTAGAGCCATGCTGCAGCTATATTAGTAGTATAGTTGTAGCACGAATGGATCAGCTCGACCGGGGAAGGACCACGCTCTCACAGAAAACCAGCGTAAAATAGCAGTTTAATGCTGCTGTGTTTCGTATGGTGAGTGTAGAGAACCGGAGACCCTTTTTACTGGCAAAGAGGCATTCCATCTTAGTCCTCACGGGTGACAACGCATCTGCATCTTGAGTCTTTATTGAGGATAGATGTAGATGTCTATGGGTCACAGTAACCACTTACCATCAGGTGGACTGTGTGCTCGTTTGTCACCCAATTCTATAAAAAAAAAAAAAAAAAAATAAGAACTTAATATAATGTATAATACTTAATATAATATACTCTATAACTTTATTGAGTGATAGTCATAGTCATAGTCATAGTCATAGTCATTTATTCCATAGAACAATAGATATATAGATATGGGGCTTATTATTATGTACGTATTACAATTAAATTAATATTATTTTAATTTTTATTTAAGTAATATTTATTACACTTAATACTTTATAAAATTTACGTAAGATTAGTATTTGAAACCCAAATAACAGTCAAAATGGAAAATGTCTAATTCCAAGTTTACTAAGGGATATGAAGGAGGTGAAGAGTCGTACTCACCAGCCCGCAGTGCCCATCATCAGCTTCACGGCTCCTTATTCTCGGCGAATTTGTTTTGGTTCGCTGGATCACCACGCTGTATGGATCGTCCGCCGATACGCGAAAATGAGTAAAATTATATACGCGATATTTTCACGAACGGTGGCACAGCTTTTCCGGTGATCCTACCGGCTGCGCCAGTCAAGTTGCGGGAGCTGCCGAGAGCTTTTTTAAAACTAAATACAAACTAAGACTTAAAACTAAATAAAAACTACGTGTTCACAGAGAGAGATGCGAATTTATTCTGACCATTGTCTTTTACAATCCTTAATCCTATGCTTACAGTCTACTTAAATTACTACATACTCAGCATTTGTGTATTTATGCTGATGGACGTTTTATCTGTATTATGGGTGGTGCTGGTGTAACCATAACTTCCTTTACAGCTGTAAAGAGTAGTCTTTTTTTTATAGGATAAGGGTGACAAACGAGAACACAGTCCACCTGATGGTAAGTGGTTGCTGTGGCCCATAGACATCTACATCTATCCTCTATTACAAATCAAAATGTAGATGCGTTGTCACCCGTGAGGACTAAGATGGAATACCTCATTTCCAGTAAAAAGGGCCTCCGGCCACCTGCACTCACCAAGCGAAACGCAGAGGTAAACCTCTACTTCACGCTGGTTTTCTGTGAGGTCGTGGTACCACCCCGGTTCGAGCCGGCCCATCCGTGCGACAGCAAAAGCTGCCGCGTGGCTCTACCAATGTTATAAACGATAACAATCTATGAGTAATTCCGGAGTTTGTAGGGGCAGGTGTTAATATATGAATTTTGATGGCACTGATAGTTCTCGTAAGTGCCTACCGCAACCATTGAACACCTGTATTATTTAACATCGAACAAAGTACCTACGCCACAAGTGCGTTGTCAACCCTGATCTAAATTATTTTTAAGGTTCCCACATGGACCGTGTATCAAAATGGTTTTAATTATGTCGTATAAAATAGGATCTTCATCTGGATTTGGTATCTCAGCACATATATAAGTTCATCCACCATGTCAGACGAAATGCGGTTAAGCATCCACAACAATATGTGCAGAGTGGACCGTGGCAGATTTACAACTTGAAATTTAAATATTTTTTAAACCATTGCGTGAGGGAGCGAAGAAGTGGTGGCATTCGACGCTGCACTCGTGCGGATTGTTTAGTCACGATGTCACAGTGGACCGGTGAGCAACGCGCGTTCGTAGTAGAGGCGTACTTTAAAAGTAACGATTCCTGTACCATTGCCCGTCAACGATTTTGTACACGTTTTGATATTCAACGTTTAAGCGACGGAAAAAGTATAAATTTAATTAGAACGAGGGTGCACAAATTCCGAGCAACTGGTTCAACCATAAACAACCCTCGGCCAGGCCCTAACCGGACGTCAAGGACCAAAGAAAACATTCAGCGTGTTGAAAGCAGCGTACTGCAAAATCCGCGCCAGTCCGTGCGCAAAAGAACATCGTCTTTGGCACTATCAAAAACGACCGTGCAGCGAATTTTAAGCAAGGATATGAAATTTCATCCACATAAGGTCCAATTGGAGCAGGCTCTTAAACAAGATGGCTTCATAGCGCGTAAGGAGTTCTGTGGAAACATGCTTAGCCGATTTCCAACTGTAAACACAATT